TCTCAGCCCCCAAACCGTGAACCAAGCAAACTTCTTTGCTCTAGAAATTTCCCAGTCCTGGGTGTTTTATTATGGAAACCAAAATAGACTAAGATAGTCTGTACCCACAGAAGTTTTTTTTTTTTTTTCTTTTTCAGATTAAAAGAACCTTTAGCCGGGCGGTGGTGGCGCACGCCTTTAATCCCAGCACTCGGGAGGCAGAGCCAGGCGGATCTCTGTGAGTTCGAGGCCAGCCTGGGCTACCAAGTGAGTCCCAGGAAAGGCGCAAAGCTACACAGAGAAACCCTGTCTCGAAAAACCAAAAAAAAAAAAAAGAACCTTTAAGCACACCATGGACAAGTGGGTTTATGGATTTGAAATCCTAAATCAAATATTCAGAGTTCAAATCAAAGGCATGCTACTTACAGGTTTTGGATATGCTTCCAGTTTCCTTGTGTGGACATTAACATTTTTTAAGTCTCGTAATATACAATACATACAATGCTATATGTATCTGAGTTATAAAACACAGTAGAGATCCAAACAATTGGGAAGGCCTTACTCAACTTTAAAAGTATAATCCCAGCGGGGAGTAGTGGCACACGCCTTTAGGGTCAGCACTTGGAGGGAGAGGCAGGTAGAACTCTGTGAGTTTGAGGCCAGCTTGGTCTACATGGTGAACTCCAGGACAACCAGAGCTACACAGAGAAATCTTGTCTCAATACACCCCCACCACCAAAATAAGTATAATATAATTGGTATACCTCATGGGAAAAGTTTTATACTATCCTCGATCCTCCTATAGCTCCACATTCTCCTCTTCCCTGTCTCCTCCTCCTCCTCCTTCTCTTCCTCCCTCTATTTCGCCCTCTAACTTCTCCAACAGAGGGAACTCTTGTGTAATATGGATGTGTCATTTCATTGATGATTTTTAAATCGCCTGTATCATGTTGTGTAGGAACCTTAAGTAATATGTGATGTAGATTTGCTTGTTTTGTGTTCATTTGTCTTCACCTTTTGGGTGGGGGCCTGGGGTGATGGTGATGGAACAGAGAGCCTCCACACATGCTAAGCACACACTCTGCCACTGAGCTACACCCTCAGCCTATGCACTTGCTGACAATGTTTGAGCTATTATATTGTACGCACACCATCAAGTTGGGCTTGTTTTACTCATTCAATTCTATGTTTATAAGGCATAGATATCTAAATATTCATAGATAATACCTTTCCTGTTTGCTACAGTATGCTATTCCTCAGCTATAGCAGCACTGGACTGCTCAGTTTCTTTGAACATTCTTGTGTTTCTCTTTATGTGTGTATGTTCAAGCCTTCTTCCTTGGTGAAATACCTGGATTTGGAATGGCTGGATGACAGAAAGTATGCATGTTCAACTGCACAAGAAAATGCTAAAACATTTTCCCATGTAGTTTCTAAGAGGCCCCAGCCAAGCACAATAGAGCATGCTTGCAATTCTAACACTTGAGATGAGGAGGCAGGAGAATTTCAAATTCTACGAAAGACTGAGCTGTGCAGAAAACCTCTCTCTCAAAAATGAAAAAATAAGAATTTCCCGCTGCTTCATGTTCTCATCTCCAGGTGGGATTTTAGATATAACCTTATACCTTTCTTCTGGGTGTATAATGGTGCCTTTGTACAATCTGTAGTTCAGTGATTACAAGACCAAGAAAATCATTTCTGTATCTTGGTACAATGTGTTTCTTCTTCTATGAGATTCCCATCTTTGTCTTTTGCCCCTTTTTTGGACACTATAATCTCCCTGTCCTCTGTTACTTATAGTTATTTATGGCAGTTATTTGGATACTCTGGGGTCTTCTTTCACTTATGTGAATGTGAGCCTTTATGAGTATCTGTGCACCATGTGTGTACAAGAGTCTACAGAGGCCGGAAGAGGGTGGTGATTCCTCTGGAACTGGAGATCCAGGTGGTTGTGAGCTACGGTGTGGGTGCCGGAAACCAAACCTGGGTCCTCTGCAAGAGGAGCTAGTGGTCTTAAACACTGAACCACTCTTCTACCTCCATCCCCCCCACCTGCTCCTTTTTTGAGACAGGATCTCACTATATAACCCTGTTGGCCTGGAATTCGGTATGTTGACAGACTGGCTTTAGACTCAGAGCTCTGCCTGCTTTTGCCTCTGGGATTAAGACCCGTGCCTCTGACCTTTTCCAATTATAAGCTGACAAATGTGTTCTCCAGGATTGTGGAGTTTTATGACTTCCTATTGTGGCTTTTGATGAACATAAATCTTTAATTATATTGCAGTTGAGTTTATCAAGCATTCTTTCACACTAGCGCTTTTCTGTCTTAATTGAGAAGCCCTTCCTTACCCCAAGATGACTAATTGGATTTTCTCCATTTTTCATTGGGTGCCAAATCCTGCTTTTCCTCTTAGAGCTTTTCTGTGCTTGGTATTTAAAAAGTGGGAGGGCTTTCTTGCTTGTTTCTGTCCTTAAGAAAAATTATATTTTATTTGAAAATGATTTTTTTTTCTGGGCCTGGAAGTTGGCACAGCATTTGCTGCAGAAGCCTGCCTGTCCGAGTTCAATCTCTGGAATTCACTACAAGAGCCCTAAACCAGATGTGATATTGCACAGCTGTAATCCCAGCACTTCTATGGGAATGGAGGGCAGAGACGGGAGAATCTCCTAGAATCTCGAGGCCGGTTAGCATGCGGCAGCCGAACCACAGAAACGGGACTCTGCCTCAGCAAGGTGGAAGACAATGGGCTCCAGACAAGTTGTCCTCTGACTGTCACATGCACACTGTGGCACGAACACACACACACACACACACACACACACACACACACACACACACATTCTCTCAAACTCAATAAATCAAAAATAAGATCAAAACAAATTTTTTGTCTGTGCCCCAGAAATAACTCAGTGGCACAGTGTTTCACGCGTGAAAGGCCCGGGCTCCATTATCAAAAGGAAAATAATAACTTTTTAAAAATAATACTTTCCTGGTTTCATAGATACATATACTCATAAATGAAGGAAAAAGAGCCCTGGAAAACATGAAAAAAAAAAATCTTACAGAAACAATCACCACCAGTAGATACACAAAACTGAAATCTGAAACCAGCATGACACTGTGCATAGAACTATCTTCATTTTTATGTCTTTATTTTTCCACTCTGTAAGTTTATATTAAACATTTAGAAAACAGAAGAAAAGCTAGCAAGCTTCACACAGCTCTGAAATTTAAATATTTCTTCCACCATCCTCATTGGTTACCCAGGAGCAGAGCTCTTCATTGGCAAGAGGGGGAGAATATTCCAGATCACAAACACCGCCAAGGCTTGAAAGACCCCCTAGACATGCCCGTGGGCAAGAGAGTCCTGACTGTTTCCTGCAGTCAAGGTGTACCTCTAGGAGACTCTCCCTGGCCCTGTATAATTCCAAAGAAGCTGACTCAAATTCCGGGAAAATAAATTATACCGATGAATATTGAATGGAAATACCCAGAGTACACGGATTCAGTCGTTTATTTAGGTGGCAGTAAGGATACAACCCAGGGCCTTGCTCATGCTGGCCAAGTTTCTACCACTGAGCTACATTCCCTCCTGGGAATTGCCTATTTAAGAGATAAGATCAGAACCCTATCTTTTTCTTCCTGAAGGCAGGAAACAGAAATCTAGCCTACAGCTCCTTCCTCATGTTTAGCTACAGTTAAATCAACAAACTAAAAAATCCCGCCCCCCCCCTTTCAAAAATGTATTTCACTTTGAAAAATTCCGTGCGCATTTGTGGATGTGTGTACTGTGTGGGTGCAGTGTCTGAAGAAGCCAGGAGAGGGACTTGGGTCCTTCGGAGCTGGAGTTAACAGGAAGTTGTAAGCTGTGGATGCTGAAAACTGAACTTGGTGCCTCTGCGAGAACAGTAGATGCTTTTAGTCACTGGGTCATCTCTCCAGCGACCCCGACCCCGCTCCCACCCCTACCTTTTCATCTAAACTGCCTGTACTTTCCTTGGCTAAGTGCCAGGAAGTCTGCCTACCAATACAAACTCCATGATTCCCCATCCTGGCTCCCAGATAGCAGACAGAGCCCGCCTGCTAGGTCTCTGCAGTTTCTAAAGTAATGCCAGAGATGCTTGACAATCCAGACAGTGTCTGAGATGTGGAGCTGGAATTCACACAGAAGCCAGAGGTTACTCGAGACTCTGCCCTGGGATAGCTAGGGTCTAGAGGTGTCTTCCAAAGGCTTATGTAGAAATATAATCTGCATGGGACTGGAGAGGTGGCTTATCAGTTAAGAGCACTAGCTGTTCCTCCAGGTACCAGGGTTCGATATCCAGCACCCACTTGTCAGCTCACAATAATCTGTAAATCCAGTTCCAGGAGATCTGAAGCCCTCTCTTCTGGCCTCTGGGGGTACAAGCCATATATGTGGCCTGCAGGCAAAACACCCATACATATAAAATAAAATAATGGAGGGATGGGAGGGGAGAGAAGAGAGATATAATCTGAACTGTAACAATATTGAGAGGCAGAGCTTGAGAAAAAATGATTAGGTCACAAGGTCCCATCCTTATAAGCAGGATTAGTGTCCTAAAAATGACTGAGGGAGCTTGTTCGCAGGCCACGTGAGGGCACAGCCGGAATGTGCCGTCTAAGCCAGGACTGGTAGATCAGGTGTGTAATCGCAGCCCCTCGGGAGGCTGAGGCAAAAGTTCAAGGCCAGACCAGGCCATTTAGTTTCAAAATAAGAATGTAAGAGAACCAGAGATGTAGGTCAGTGAAAGGAGCTAGATTCAATCACCAGGACCCCAGTGCTTGAAGTCTCTGGAGACAGTCACCACCATACAGTGAGAACCCAAGAGGGAGGCCTGGGGCTGCGGTGGGAGGCTGAGGTTCAGGCAGAGGAGACGCAGACACTGAGGCCCCCGGGCGAGAGCAGCCAGCGAGGTCGCTACAGCTAGCACTCAGACGGGCCAAGCTGGGGCCAGGAGCTGGCACTGTTAGAGTGAGCTGGCCGCCGCCGCGTAGCCGGCCGGCGAATGCGGCGTAAGCACTGCAGGGCAAGCTCGGGGTGGGGGGTGGCTGCGCAGATCCGCCCCTGCCTGCCTTCCCCTTCCAACCGGCCATTGCTTGCGGATTCCCGGTAAGGACCCGGTGACTCTCTCAAATGACTGCGGCTGGCAAACGACTCAGCTCTAAAAACCAGACTACTTGGACAGTCTCGAGGGGCCTGCCCTACCTAGTTAGCTCCAGAGAAGCAAAGGGGGCGTTGGTTGGGGGATGGGAGGGTGGGAGGGAGCTTCCTGCTGCTCTGGAGGGTCCCGCATTGGGGACTAGCTGAGGGCAGCTCCTCCAAATGCCCCACAACCCAGGTTTGAAAATACTTGTCACCACAACCGGACTTAAAGAAACAATTCCCGGCAATCGTGTTTGCAGAAACTCCTGTCCCTAAGAATTACACAGAACTCCTTATGCTGGGACATTTAATGATTTGTTTTTACAATGGGAAATGAGACTGCAAAAAGAAAGGGGGAAAAACAAAACTCTACAAACAGATAAAAGAGGTGATACCAGGAAGAACACTGGCCCAGAGCAATTCAGTGTTTTCTTTTGATTGGCTGTAGCTAAAAGAGAAAGTTAAATATAGGAGATGTGAGCAAACTTTAAAAATATTGGTTTGGGGTGGCAGGTTATGGGGTCTGGGTGCTCTTAACAGTGATCAAGTTGAAACACCCAGGTTGTAATTTGGGACTGCTCAAGTGTCCGGAGGTGTCCCACACAGCTGTGGGGAGATTCGATTCCTTGGAATGCAGAATTGAAATTTCAAGTGCTTACAGAGTTTGTTTGGTGAGAAAACTTGGCGCTGGACGTTGGTGCAGCATCTGAAGACAGTTAGGATAACAATCAAAGCCGTGCTGGTTAAATGAACTGGCTCTTCTGTTTTTCCAACATTATGAAGGAATTTGGTGATGAAATGAATTCTTTTTCTCCCTTCACACCGGCAAGAAAATACTCAGGTTTTTCACTGTCTGTCCTTATAAATATTCTGATGTGACAACTGAGCGTTTAAACCTCCAGGGATTTTATGTGCTTAAATTATTGAAGCAAATTAAAAATAGGCAAAGAACATGCAAATACGCTTCATTAGAAAGGAATTAAATATGGAAACATTTAAAAACGTTTTACACTGGGCCGTATGTGGCAAGCCTGTCATCTGAGATCCTTGGGAGGGTGAGGTGGAAAGGTCTCCCGTTCAAAGCTCGCCTGGGCTACAGAATGAATTTTAGGCCAGCTTGGGCAACTTAACAAGATCCTGCTTCAAACCGAAAAGCAAAAAGAAGGCGGGAGGTGTAGCCCAGTGGTAGAGTGCTTGCCTAGCATTCCTGAGGCCCTAGGCTCCTGGCATCTCCAGAACTGAAAAGAAAAGTGAAAATTAGGTTTAACTACCCCCCTGCCCCCAGTAAGGGACTACAGCTCTGTCCCTTACACATGGAACCAAAGTGCTCAGCCTTAGATTATATCAAATCAGTAAGAACACTCCCCCGCCGCCGCCCCCCCCCCCTTTGGTGGTAGTAGAGCTTGAATCCAAGACCTCTCTCAAGCATGCTATGTAAGAATGCTTTTGTGGGGGCTGGAGATATGGTTCAGTGGTAAGAGCACATACTGCTCTTTCAGAGGACCTGAGTTTAGTTTTCAGAACCCACATAGGGTGGGGGATCAATGGAATGGGCACTCACATGCACATACCCACACATACCCACTCATATGCACATACAAATAACTAAATAAAATGAATTTTTTTTAACAATGTGTTTATTTCTAAAGTACAGTTTTGCTATGTAGATTAAGCTGGACTTGAACTCTTGATTCTCCTGTCTCTCTCTCCCAAGTACTGGGCTATGGTGTAGGCCATCACAGGGGAGAGTTGAAATATCCTTAGACGGTAATACTCTATCTACTCCCTCTGCTTGCTGGGAATATAAACTGGCAAACCTTACCTGGCAAACACTTAGATGATGTATGTAAGGACCCAGTCAGGGCCCCAGAGATACTATAAAGATTATTGAAGACTCTAACCACTTTATGAATTAGCTACTTCTACTTTATTTTATGTGTATGGCTATTGTACCTGCACAGACATCTGTGCACCATGTGTGTGCAGATCCTTCAGAGGCCAGAAGAGGGCATCAGATCCCCTGGAACTGGAGTTACAGTTATAAGCTGCCCTGTGAGTGCCTGGTCCTTTGGAAGAGCTTATAGAGTGAGTCATCTCTCCAATCTCCAGCTACTTCTTGAATTGACTCTGTGCATGTACAAACAAATCCTTTTGTCTCCTTTAAACCCGGCTTGTACCACTTTAATTCACAGGTGTAAGGACTGAATATAATAAGGTAAAATGGTTGTTTTGGGTTTTTTCCCCTCTTTTCATATATATTCAGAGGCTTAAAACACTCTCATCTACTTTGATCCAAGAAAGTCTAATAAAATCTAAAGAAATAACCTTAGTCCCGAGATACTTAGTGATATCAGTAACGGTGGGGAACACATGAAGGAAAACAGCTTGCCACAGTGTAGGGAAAGGTTTCAATGAATGGTGGATGTCTGTCTGTAAGATGGAATGTGGGTAGCATTGGCTGTCCCAGTGTACACACACACACACACACACACACACACACACACACACACACACATACACCAGTTACATAATTGTTGATTGTTTATTAGCACTCTCAGAAACACATAATAAAGTTATTTCTAGGTGTCAAAATTGTATATCTTAACATTTTATTTTTTTTCTGCATATTTTAAAAAATATTTTCCAAATTTGTATAATACATTTCACTTTAGACTGGGGTGGGAAAGCATCCCAGTGATGCTATGCAAACCCAGGTGTCATGACCTACTTTACTCCCAGGCCTGCCTATGGTCTATATCATGGGATGGGGGTCTACTCCTCCAGCGTGTGGTAAGGAAAGCAGTGTAAGCCTGAATCAGGCACAGGAGAAAATAGCAATCTGGAGCTGGGGTAAACCCTGAGACGTGTGAAGCTGCTGCTGGCAGAAGACGGCCTCCTTTTTCACAGGAAATTTTGTGAGTGGAAGGAGTGCGTTCTGAAACAGTGATAAAAGTATAGTACGGTAAACATACCAGCAGCATCCTCGTTATCACCAGCAAGGATGATGGATGGAGCCAGGAATGCTGCTCACACATCCCAGCATTTGGGAGATGAGATGGGAGGATCACCAGGCTACCCAGTAAAAACCCAACAACAACAAAAACAATCTTTATTTAGTCAGACAGGAGCTCACATCTGTAATCCACTCGGAAGGCTAAGGCAGGGAAATCACATGTTCAAGGCTAGCCCGAGTTATATAATGAGTTGGAAACCAGGCAGGATTATATAAAGAGACACTGTCTACACACACACACACACACACACACACACACACAAGGGACTGGGGAGATGGCTCGGATAGTAAAATCCTGCTGTGTAAGTATGAGGACCTGAGTTTGGTTCCCTAGCATTCACCTAAAAGCACGTGCTGCTCTCGCAAAGGAGCTGGCCTCAGTTCCCAGCACCCACATGGCGGTTCACCACCTCCTGTATCTCTAGTTCCATGGGATCTGACACCCTCTGCTGAACTCCACGGACTCCAGGCATGCATATGGTACACACACATGCATTCAAACAAAAAACAAACACTCACTCATACACTTAAAATAATTCTAAAAATGAATTTGAAGTAGCTTGAGCAGTAACAGTTGAACACGAGATAGTCTGCCTGATAACCACAATGACTATTAAGTGACTAGGAGGGAGGTAGAGTATACACAGAAGTACAGTGGACAAAAGCATAAGGTAGGTCCTGGATGAGACAGAGCCAGATGAAGCTCGATTTCAACATGCTACTCTGAACAAGGCACAGTTTAAAACATAAGAATTCTTTCTTTCTGGAATCTTCCATTGAGTACTCTTGGACAGCAATTGGCCTAGGGCAATGCAGACTACATAAAGCAAGCCATCGATAAGGGACGGTTCTCTAAGTGTCCCACCTTCACTGGTGGTGATGTGCTTTACTCTGTCTTGTCTTGAGCTGTGTCCCTGCGAGAAGGTTCTAGCCATCCTCTGCCCCCAGCTCAGATCTGCCACTCTCAAGGCCAAACTTAAGCTCTGGAGAGTTTCACCTTTTCTTATCTCTGCGTTTAGCTCACATCTTCTTGTCCCCCTCTCCTGGGTCCCTTCTGCCCATCAGGACTTGCATCATAGAAAACCCACTCCCAGAGAGCCTCTCCTCACTTCTTGGGGGTGTTTCCAGGCAGTTTCACTGGGAACCATGTGATCCATTTTGTATGCGTAACAAACTCAATCTCTCCATGCCAGCCATGCACTAAAGCCTAATCCATAGCCTACAGACCTTCCTTGAATATGACCTCAGCATCATCCCCATGAGTTAGGGAAGTCTTCATTCAGCCCCTTTAAGATACAAATTCGGTAGGAAGCAGAGGGCAGGATCCGGCCAACAGCAGCACTCTAGTAAGGTACTGATCTGGATATCGAGGTGGTGTGTTGCCTCAGTGAGTGGGACAGCAGGATTTGACTCTCTGGGGAGAGAAGATGCGGGAGATGTAGGTTTTGGGGTCAGCAGCCTGGGAACACACACTGGGTCCCTGGAAAGGGATATGTGCATTTAGAGAGACCACAGGAAAAGTCTCAAGGGACAGAACGGAGAGGCCATAGCGTTTAGTGTACTTAGCAGGTAGATTATTGACCTTTGCCCCTTTTGTTCACAGGCCTTCCAAGTAGGAGGAACTGAGTCCTAGACCCTGGACCAGCTAGCTGCCTCCCAGCAGCCCTTGCCCTACCCCTGCTCCTCACGGGGTTTAATTACGAGCTCGGGAAGGGATTCCTAGTCGAGGGTACATAGCCCATGACTGCCCTGCTGACTCTACTTTACAAGCCAGCATCAATCCAGCCTGGCCTCCGAGCCTTGTGGGCCTCAGGGACCCAGAGCTTCTCCCTGACCTGGACGGCAGTGACGATGGGAGCCTGTCTCTTTTAGCAAGGCCTTGGGGAGGAAAATTAGAATGTGAAATTGGGCAGAGGCCTGGGCCTGTGGGAGTTAAAGGGAGGCCACCCAAACC